ATTAACCCCACCTGGATCCATTCCTAGCTGAAAAGAGAATATCAAAGTTGTGGAGGGAGTCAGAAAGGCTGGCAGAGGGGAAGAAATGCCTCTGTCTCATATTCCAGCATCTTGCAGTCCTCATGGGTCACATTTGTGAGATACTGAACTGCACAGAAGTGGATGCCCTCCAAACAGCCCTCTGGATTTGAGTGATGATGCTGACTAAGGCACCTGAAGGCCAAAGAGAGACAATAAATTAAGTAGAAGATATCTGAGAGGTATCACTTACTACTGGGGACATCCACAGGCTATCCCTTGAGAAATCCAGTCTGAATCACCTCCAGCAGAGTTGACAGGCAGAAACAGGATTCAACAAAGAGTCTGACATCTGGATATCAGTCTGCAACTCCTCAGGAATCTGGCCGTGATTTCTGCATGCACCAATGTCTCTCCCTTTAATCACAGAATCATAGAATGGTTTGAGTTGGAAGGGACCTTAAAGATCTAGTTCCAACCCCCCTGCATGGGCAGGTACATCTTTCTGTGGAGAAAGCAGATGGTTACTGTGTTGCCTGGCTGTGCCGTAAGGACCTTCTATATTGCCAAAGGTATTTTTTATCTCATTGGAAATGCTGAAATGGGTTGGGAATTCCAAAGTACTGAGAAATTATGTTTCCACAGTGCAGAGAGCACCAAGACAAGAAAGAAGTGCTTTGTCATTTCTCTGCAGTGCCGTGCTTCAGCCCTTGTTGGGGAAACCATGGAGTCAGGTAGCTCCGAAGCCAAGTCCTGTAGTCAGAGGTGAAAGGGAAATCTCGCCTGAAGGGCCATGCTAGCTGCAGCCTGGCTGTGTGGCTGGACCCATCACACAAGACAAACTGAAAACCACATTTGTTCCATGACACAATGTAGAGTTTCATGTGCCAAGGCACCTAAACAAAGCAAATGAGCTAGCCCATGCCACACCATGAGGCTCTGCACAGCTTGAGTTAGGAAGCACACTGTCACTCACAAACCTTAAATTAAGCTAATATAGCTCTGCATGGGGGAATTCACTGTGCACACATGTACCTAAAAGAGATGAGCTAAATGCTCAATGTCAACTGGCCTTGCAAATAACAGGTGCTTTAATTTAACTACCAGTGCTTGAAAATCCAAATCAAAGTCTCTGTGGATGAAAAACTCGGCAACTGACTGACATAAAACCCCTTAACTTTCTAAGCCAAGATGTCCCTTTAGGGCTGAAACAACTATAGATATCATTGCCATGATAACTAGATTAATCTTTCTTCTCAAGGACATGAGGTATCCGATTAAACAAGACTTTTGTAACAGTAATCACTTAAATAAGTGTACGTCTTAAATGTAATTCAGAAAAATACACTGATTTTTATTCACACCATTAGTGATGATAATAATGATTCACAAATCAGAAGCACTGTTTCATGTTCTGAGGAGCTTTAGAAGCACCAAGGAATTAAGGATTTGCTAATAAAGAGTGGTGAATAAACAAAAATTACAGAAGGACTTTAAGAAGCCTGAATAAGCTACAGAAATTAATGGAAAATAAATGAGAACTCAGAGAAATCTGGTTTATATTAAAAATCCCTAAAAAAAAAAAATCTAATGTAGCATGGTCTGGGTGAAATGAGGTCAGTGTGTCTCTTTCCAGAACTAAACAGACATTCCCACAACACAGAACGCAACACAACAGAGGTCCTTTTCTAAGGATATTCAGGATTGATATAGATGGCAATTCTGGCAAAGGCACATCATGCCAAGAAGCAGATCCCAAAGACAAGAATAAAACCAGGATGAAAGAAAACTGCAGGAAGATGGTCAGAACATAAATATCCAGGTATACGAGCCTAACATCTTTCTCCAGTTCTACTTTTATGGAGATAATTGAAATTGTAATAAATAAATAAAACCCTGCTGCTTCAGAAGGAGAAATCTGTGATCAAAGAGTTCTTTCAAGGTGCCATTAAAGTTAAGGCATTAAATATATGCTTGTATTGAAGCACATATTTAACCAGCTGAGGGCCTTTTATTTTTCAGCTGTTGGGAATGTTAGAGCCTAAGCCCCTGCCCGGGCTTCGCTCACTAGCAGCACTATCTTTGATTCAAGCATCAGTACATTTTACTGTGGTATCTTAAGGCTCAAACCTGCAAAACACCAACTTGAGTTAAGAAGTGCTGAGCGCCCTCAGCTGTCTGAAAAGCAGTTTGTTTTCAGCCAGAATTTCAAATCTCTGTTTACTGCCTCCAATAGCCTCGGAAAAATTCCCATTCTCTTTCTTTCAAAGCAAATTCTTCCCAGTACTCGCCACTTTCCCAGTGAGAGTGCAATGGCAGGCTCTGGATTTCTGTGTTGCAGAGGACGTGCGCTGCATGTTTTCCACCAAGCAGGGCAGATTACCCCCGTTGTGCCTGGGAGGCAGAGCAGAAGTGCTGAGCAGCTGGGGCTGGCATCCCTCTGGGATCTAGGCACCACTGAGAGCTGGGGTACCCCTCTGTGGTCTGCAGGGCAGATGTCCATGAAAGACCTCTCCCATGATGGTAACATCCTTTCTTGATCCCACAAGCTCTCTCTGCCTTGGGATTCAAGGTTTTCAAACACACTAGTTTCATGCAGAGTTTATGCCAGCATAAACCAGCACAGCTGCTCAAAGAATCAGATCTTCCTCCCCTCTATCAGAAAATCATAGAATCACAGACGGGTTTGGGTCAGAAGGGACCTTTACAGGTCATCAGTTCCAACCCATGGGCAGGGTCATCTTGCACTAGATCAGGTTGCTCAAAGCCCCGTCCAACCTGGCATTGAACACTTCAAATGACGGGGCAGCTACAGGTTCTCTGGGCAATCTGTGCCAGGGTCTCACCACTGTCATGATAAAGAATTTCTTCCTTATGTCCAATTTAAATCTACCCTCTTACAGTTTAAAACTGTTGCCCTTTGTCCCTGTCGCTACAGGTCCTGGTAAAAAGTCTCTCCATCTTTCTTATAAGCCCCCTTTAGTATTGAAAGGCCTCAATAATGTGTCCCCAGAGTCTTCTCTTTTCCAGGCTGAATAACCCAAACTTTCTCATCCTTTCTTCACAGAGGAGGCATTCCAGCCCTCTGATCTTTTTCATGGCCCTCTGGACACACTCCAACAGGTTCAAAAGTCTTCCACCAGTTGTGTGAGCATATGGTGAGCCAGCACAAGGGGAAATGATTTAGGTAAAAACTGATCCAGGTTAAAATCTCTGGCCTGGTTCACTCTGATCTGCCTGTCTGCATGTCTCTTTCAAAGGCAGTGCTGTCTTACACAGGCTTAAACACTGTATAAACTCTGCGCTCCAAGCCTCCTTGCAGGAGGCGTGTTCCTGGGTATGCTGGGGTATTCCTACAGTCATCACAGAGACAAGCCAAGGCTGCAACATGAGAAGGTCCCCTAAGTGATGAGAGAAACATTGCAGTTTGTGAGATGTGCTTGCAAGCTTCATTTCCACTCAGTAGCAGCCACAATATCTCAAGAGCAAGATAAGGATATGATTCCATATGCTCTGGAGTACTGTTGAGGGTTCATGGCTTCTAGAGCCAGATGGCCCAAAAAGCCCCTGCTAGCTCCTACCGTGGATGCTATCCAGGGTCTCTCATTGGGAAACTCTGTACTGTCACAACCTCCATAATGTTGCTGTAATTGTGCTCTTAGTGGTTTGTAACACCTGATACAGTCTTCACTGCATCCTATCAAAAATGCCAGTGCATTCACTACAACAGCAGTATTTCCCTCCTCTGGACTGTGTAAAAAGGAAAGTAGTGATGAGTGCACTCACACAACCCACCAGAAGTGATATTTTCCACACTCAATAGGAGAGCAGATTGTAGAGTCGAAGAGCCCTTCAACCAAAATCATAGCAAGATATCTGAGGTAAAAACAAACTAAGGGTCACGTATGACTAAAAATATTAGAAGCAGCGGATTTTCAGAAGGATTTAAGTGGTAAAATTCATGAAGAATCTATTTGCCTCCAGGGTTTAGTTGAGTTACATTTTTAAAAATAATGTTATGCTTCCACCCAAATATTTTTGTTTTAAGCATCTCTTAGCAGCCAGGAAGCAATGTTTCCTTTATGTTACAATGCACGATGGGAGCCTGGCTCATCTCTCCCCGTGGCCCATATGGTGGTACAGAGCTGCAGACGTCGTTCTCTTTTAACGATGAACACGGGTGCATTTCAGGATAAAGAAAACAGTATTATCTGCGAGAGGTTTTTGCCACAGTACTTTCAGAATAGAGGCTTCCTCAGCACTGTTCTGGCTTCATTTCCTCTTGCAGCTTTATAGAATCACTGCAGATCTCCCCTACGTGGAAACATTGAGTCATTTCTTCCAAGGGGAGCACACTGCGCTGGACAGACCACTGCTCTCTCTGGACAAGGTGCAGTCGTTGCTCTTTGGCTGTCCAAGACTTCTCCATCTGACCTGGAATCACCATGTCTCATTCTCCTCTCTCCATGGGTCTCCAATTCCTTCCCAATAAATCCCTAAAATAGTTCCACTTGTACTTTTGACCATCCTTAGGCAAAAGTAAACCTCCCCCCCCCTTCTCCTAGCCCTGGGTCACGTTTGCTCGCTGATCTGCGTGTTTTTTCCAGCATGGCTGTACTTGGCAGCAGTGCCACATTCCAAGGGCTTCAGACATTTTCTCAGTCTGCTGCCTTCTGGGTCCAAATTTCACACTCAGAAAGAGCAAAAGAAAAGGGCAAAGACGCCTGTGTTTTTAAACACTTTTGGTATTCTGGAGCTCCTGTCCTGTTCAACCGACAATCTGGAAAGGGAATTGGTGCCACCTATTGGAACGAGAAAACAAGGACACCTGTCAGTTTGGCTTTTAGCTTTTCTGCACATTTATCCATTTAATTTTTTCCTCCACCTTTACCATCAAGGGTGTAAGGACAGAATGAGCAGCATCTGCTGACATGGCAGCTGTTGAGTGACATGTACGGCTTCCTGAGTGGACACCAATATCTGCTGAGTGGTCAAGAAAGCAGAAGACAACCCAAACAAGGATCCTGTAGTACTGTCAATGGCAGTTTTTCCGCAGTCACGAGTCAGTTCGTCTCTTCTGAACTGTCAAAATCACGAAACCACCAGACTTGTGGTTAACATTTCACTCTCCTTCTCAGAAAAAAAGACTAAAGCATCCTACTGACAGACAGAAAATTACTTTTTCATCAGGGCTTCTAATGCAGGGCCATGTACCTAGAGGAAATAGCATGCAGTACTTTTGTAGCTTGCTGCTCTTGCTAGACTCAGAATAACTGGGGACATTTGACTCCAATCACTAAATTTATTAGAAAAAAAAATTATAGATAATATTTTTGACTAGTGATGGAATGAGTTTGTTTCAAGAAAGACATCAGAGCTGACAGTGAGGACTTCCAGCAACTTGGCACAATCTAACTGCAACTCATCTGAAAAAAGAAAAAGCTGAAAAGGAAAAATGTTACATTACAATTTCTCTACATACCAGCAAGCTCCAAATTAGATCATCTAAAAGCTGTGGTAGAGGTACTATTTTTACTCTTTTATGTCATTGCACAGGGATGTTATATAATTGCAGTTGTAAAAGAAGTTATCCATTTGGCTCTATGTGGGAGTGAAAGTGGTACATGACACACTGTACTAAACTGCGCAGAATGGCCAAAAGCAATTAGTTAGATACAATTTTTGGCGCTACCTTTGTTTCATATATCCTGCCCACAACAGGGTTTCCAGACTAAAAACATGATCTTGGGTCACTTTTTTATACTGCTTTATTTCTGTAATCTCTTGGCTTCCTGGATGTCGCATCTGATGATTCTCCCTTTGAAGGTAGTATCAGTATCAATAGAAATAGGTTCAATATTGGACTGATAATCAGAAATCCATGATGATCCCAGATTGAACATACTGTACCATCTGTTAATGGCAGATAAACATTCAGATCATACATGTGACTTTCACACTCTTTGTAGTTGTTTTACTATAGATGATAATCTAAGGTCTGACACTGCTTAATGTAAATTTTACCAGCAGGCTCCGAGTCCTCTCCAGGACATGGCAGCATTTAATCATTGGAAAAAATGAATGCATTTCATTATCATATTCTTCTCTCTAGGTTATGGTGACATTCACTACACAGTACTGCTGACTGCAGAAGTTGGATGCACTTCACAACATCCCCTCTCGCCCACTTAATCTGCTCAAAGCCTGCAAAGAACATATCTTTATGGTCTTTTCAAATTACCTGTCAATTGGAAATTAAGCTTAATCAGCAAATCTGAAGTCACAGCAAACACACCAGCATTTAGATTGGCAAGAAGCCCAGGTATTAATCAAGGGTAGTAGTCCTTCCACAGACCTGTGGATACTTCTGTGGACAGAATAAAGCAAAGCTGCTTTAGGATTGCTCAGAGGAAGCAATCCAGATTTGTATATTCATAGTGTCCTGTGAGAAAAGACAGTCTTTAAACTACATCAGTAGAGTATCTATGGGATCCTGGCCAATATAAGGTGTTTCCAGCAGCTACCACAGCAACACTCAGAAGCAAGAAGGCAATGCTGAGACTCAAAATTTTGACAGAAAGAGTAGAGCCAGTGTAGAAGAGTCAAAGGCAGCACAAGTTCCACATAATATAAAACAGACAGACAGACAGGTAAAACTTAAGCCCTGTGTGTACATATGTAGAGATATACATAGAGACATGTTCTTTGTATCAAAGCTTTCTGAAGTTCAAGCCTTTGTCCCAGCTTTGTTAGATTCTCAGGGTTCAGTTCTTGGACAACTGCAAAAACAACATCCAAGCCATTAGCCCAGGGCGATGCGAAGATAATTCAGCACAACCCTCAGTCATTTCAGACTAAGCTAAGCTGCATTATCTCACATTTGCTAGGGAGTAAGGGTGTACATAGAGACTGTTTCCATGGCACAGCTGCTGCAAGGGAATTTCTTAAGTAATTTGACTGAATCTGAGCCCTCAGACCCGGGGCTGATCAATGTCTACTTTTGCAAACAAATGTTATGGACTGGCTTGGGGAAAGTTGGACACTTTTAAACCTCTTGCCTCAAAATATTTACCATCTGTGGAGTACAGCATAGATAGATGAGCTGCTCATAACTCATCCCAGCAGCTCAGACCACTCACCGGAGAGTTAGAACAGAAGTCTCCTTCCTTCACAGAGACAACACACTCGACTCCTGCGTGTTACCCACGACCTGCAGAACAGACAAAACAAATTAATCACGTGGTGAAAAAAAATCTGAACAAAATAGGTGGCCCCAAACAGTTATTTTCTCCATTGCATTTCCACAACACTGATGTGCAGCAACAGAGTTTTGTGCAAACACTCTAATGTTCCTTAGAAGCATTTATTTCTTTTACATAAAAAACTTGAATTCTCTCATTTTTTATTTTTCACTAGTCCTCTTTGGTTATTTCTAGCCCTCCCCTATCTACATGGGCTTTAATTTTTCTTTGGATTTTAAAAAGCAAAATGTTTCATTCCAACTAGAATCAGAGACATCACGTCTGATTCTAAGCAACCCTCCTCCATTTTACAACTGCAAGCAAGGAAGGATTGTTCTGTTCCGGCATATGGATCTCTTCAAAAATAGACTGAATTGTGAGATACATAGATCTGATTGGCAGTGAAGCACACACTGAAGTGCTAAACTGCTCCCCCAAAACTTGGATATTTGCTGCCTAAATAAGATCTGTTCCCAAAAATGAATTCTCAGTACTAAAAACAGATCTGGGATTACTGTGGGAACAGCTATCGTAAGTGTAATAAAGTAGCAAACCCTTTAAGTTCCTCTGACAAGTAGAAGTTAGTTGATTTTTCTCTTCTTTTACCTTTGCTGCACGTGCAGTAAGGTCCTGCAGCTTGCAAAAACTTAGCTCGGAGCTCAAATAAAAAGCCATGATGAGCTGCTAGTATTTCTGTCCCTCGTTGTCACAGAAGCTACCTTTTTTGTCCCTCTTACACCCATACACTCCTGTCTAACACACCAGCCATGGATGAAGTGATGGGAGATGACAGTTATTCAGAGATCACACTCCCTCAAGCAGAGAAGATCTCAGTGTACCTACAAGGAGCCAGATTCCATTTGTTAGCAGTGTGAAGAACAAAGCACATAGTTTATGGGCTCAGCACACATAAATCTATCATACCTGTTCTTTGCACACACATGGTCCCAAATGTTTGCTGGTTTTATTTTGAGGAAGATTTGTAACCTGCACCCTCAGTTCAAACGCTTAAATTCCTCAGCTGTAAAAGGATTGTCCCCTGACAGTGTCTACCATCCACCTTGCACCTCTCTCCTCTCCCTCGTGCTGGGGAGTGTCTGGCTGCAGCACTTGAAGAGGAGCTGGGGAAACAAGTCCACAGAAAGGCACGATTTCATTAAACAGCAGACAGTTCATAACTCCTAGGAGATATCAAAACTGCATCTTCAAATCAAAAGAGCTTATTTTCAAGCCATGCAGTTGTTCAATGGAAGAGTAATATTTTCCACATGGAAAGCTGACATTTTAGTTAAAAATGGCATTTTTCCCATTGACAGCAATATCATAGTCGGCCCTATTACCTAAGAACTGGCACTGAGATACTTCCAGCTTGGCATCTTGCTAAGGACAGTTACTAAGCACTGGGACTGTGCAGGATGAACCCCTCCATCCCTGGGAACCAGGCAATTAGACACTGCATCCAACCATGTCATCTGACAGCTGTTAACGGGCTACATCCCCATAGCGTGGCAAACCCCATCCTAATGAATTTGATAATGCCTGAAACATCGTTAGGCCCTGTGCAAAAAGCATTCCCTTTCGTACACCTCACACCTGCCACCTGATCTCATCTTCTAGGCCTCATGCGGCAAGAAGTCTCTCCTAATCGCCCCTCTTGAGGCTGCTCCCTGCTCCACCATAGCCTCTAGCCTTTCTTTCTTCTGTGGAGACCCACCATTTTACCCCCTGACGACTAGCGACCTTGCTTCTCCTTGGGGGATTCTGCCTGTTCCCGCCGGGCTGGCAGGCGCTGGGCTCCGAGGGGCGGAATCCGAGGGGGTGGTGAGGGAAGGGCGAGGGCGCCGGGCCGGGCAGGCGGAGGGAGGCCCGTGGCCCGGCCCTGCTGCCGGACTGGGCGGTGGGCGGGAAGCGCGGAGCTCGGAAAGTCC